CCCTTCACTTGGAGAGCCCACTCTGATGCAGTCCACTTCAATGACGCTCTATAAAGTTGTTCCCACAACAGTGTGATCACAGTGTCCTTTCGTTTAAGCAGCAGTAACTCTTCTCAAGTTCATCATCTTAATCACCGTGAACATATTGTATTGAGAAGATACATGACAATCAAAGATCTAATCTCATGTAGCAGATATGGAGTGTTTCTTCTTACTTTCGGCGCAACCCTAATTCTCTTCGAATAAGGGTACTTATATATCCTTCAATAACCACTCTCCATAGATGTCTTTGATTGTAGAAGGTAGGACTATAAAAGAGGAATGTAATCTCAGAAGATTAGGTCCATACCTTTCTTAAGAATATTCGCTGATCATCTTTCCATATGAGTCTGATAATACCGCGTAAGCCTTTTAAGAAACCAGCTTCCTAAATCAGATCTTCGGTGTCAGTCCTTCTGTTGTTGCTTCTGATTGATCAGTTATCCATAGAGATAAACGGACAGACTCTAAACCTATCTTAGTATGCCATAATAATATTGCCAATTATAATATGGGGTTTTTGAACATTTAAAAACACTAACAGGAAGAATAACCAGGGATCGAGTCTCACCAGCGGCAGTATGGGAGCAACCTCTCAAAGTGAGGGGGGCTCCTTGTGCGCAGTGAGCACCGGTCTAGCCTCTGTGGTTCATGTTCAGTTGAGTCACCATGATTTACATCCTCCCAAATGCTCTGTCGGGCCGGGGTTGCGGGGGCCTTTAGGGTTGGGGTTCAGCCTTTTGGAAGAATGATAAATACTATTTAGAGTAAAATTGAATATTATTAATAATAAATATTATAATACTTATAATTGAAATTGCAATACTTATAAAGTGCATCTACATTGAGAATCTCACCCAATTATTCATAATCCCACCTATCTCACATAAGTTTTTATCTTATATAACATTATACACCAATAATATTCTTGGGATGAATTTCTAGATGTGAAAAAGACTTTGAAAAAGACGTAAAAGACTTTGACAATTCTTGCCGTGTGGGGTCCTAATCCCTCTTTGTATTTATATTATTTTATTTTATTTTATTTAGGTAGAATGAAAAAAATGATTTGGTTTTAACTTTTAAGGAAGGTTCTGAAGAAATTGTCGAATAAGTTTTCGTTTCGATAATAACTCAATTTTAAATTAATTATTGAAACTCGAATCATTCAACAAATACATATATATTATAATATCAAAATAAATTTAATTAGTTGTAATAGTAAGTAAAATTGTAATAAAAACTATGTCATGTTAAAAAGTTTATAAACAAATTTTTTAAATAAGAGTTAAATTTTACTAGCGTGATCGAAAAATATTAGATACAGTATGAAAATTAAATAATAATAATAATAAATAAATAAATAAAATGATAACTTTCCCTCCTCCTAATATCATTGGTAGCAAATTATACCCTGTATCTGATACCTTTGCATTGTGCACTTTTGTCTAAAATGAAATTCAAATTATGTAATTGCAATTAACAGATTATATGCATGTAAATAAATTGAAGGCACATAATATTTTAACTACATACACATAATATGTTAACTACAGACACATAATATGTTAATTGTAGACACATAATACGCTATTAATATATTATGTGTCTGCAATTAACGTATTATAAACAAATTATGTGTTTTTAATTTATTTATAAACATTATTTATTAACTGATACATATAATATGTTAACTATAGATTTATAGGTTTATAAAGTAAGATGAACTCTATGGTTCATGATAAGTATTGATCGATGACTTGTAGTGTAAGTCCAAGCAAAGCATAGGTCCACGAAGGAGTCCCAGTATTCAAGATGACTTTAAAAAGAAGAATAAATAAATAAATAAATATTCTTAAAAGGATGAAAATTAAACAACCTGCTCCAACTTTAGAAAAAGCCAACGCCTGTGTTTTGACCAATTTAACTACTGCAGATAATTTATCAAATATTTAAATTTAAATGCAACTGATTTGATTGCTACTCCTACCATAATTATTGTGTGGTTTATACAGTTGTGTGGATTATACTATCAAATAATATAAATTCAGTATATAAATATATATATTATATATATTAAAAATGTAAATTATATTCAGGAAAAGTAAATTATTTGAGTACTGAATGTACATTATTTGTTATAGTGTACATTCAATACACGAATAATGTATTTTTAGTATATTAAAAATATACTTTTTGTTATAGTCCACACAATAATTTGTCATATTCCTAGGTGTTATATATTCGGGTAATATTAAATGTACAACACGAATAAAACTATTTCATAAAATGATAAATTTTTTTATTATTTAGGCTATATTTAATAGAGGTTATTTAGAAATTAATTATCTATTTTAGGACCTCTTTGAAAATCCGAAAAGTATTTTCAAAAAAATGATTTTTAGAAAATGATTTTCGCAAAATGAGTTATTTTTAAAAAAAAAAAAAAATATTTTCATTTTATGTTGTTTGGTTGAATGTTTAAAAAAAAAAAATTGTATAAGTGAAAGTAAACAAAATTGTACTTTTCTATTTGATTCATTTTTTTTTAAAATGAATAGAAATTTATTTAAAAGTTTTTTTTATAAAATATTAATTACTTTTTTGATAATAATTAATATTTATATTAAAATAAAATTACAAAATAAAATGTTTAATTGTTGTAAAGATTTTCAATAACTATATATATATATATAAAAAAAAGATGTATATAAATAAATTTTAATTTGTAACTTATTATAATAAAAATAAATATATTAGTTGATAAATATAATAAATTTGAACTAAGAAATTTAAAGAAAAGAATTACTTTTAATGAACTTGTTTGGACTATGTGACAAGATGTCTTAACAAAGGCTGTATCTGAAAATCAGTTTCAAAGCTCACTTCACAAGTTGTGAATGATCGGCATATATTCACTAACTTGAGAGGGGGGGGGGGGGTGTAGAGTGTTGACGTGAGCAATCTTAGGAGGAAAATTTGCTCAAAAAATTGACAGATTATGTAAATATAGAGTTTACTTATTTATAATTGATTTGCTTAGGTTTAGGCTATAGCGTAGGAAATTGATGTACCTCAATGAGTATATATAGGCCGTAATTAGCTAGATTATAATACATAGAAAAGTATTTTTTTTTCTCCATTATCGTTTCTACAATTTTACCATGGGATCCATCGAAGTAAATACCGAAGCATAATCAAAGTGCTCAAACTTTTTTAATACTTTCTTAATGTAATGGGCTTGTGTTAAAGAAACAGTTCTATTGTTTCTGTTTATCCTAATGCATAGGTGATGGGTAAATACGTACAGAAGATTGATCGGTATAGTCGGTCCGTCAACAAGTCATCCGACCGGTCCGTTGCGGTCGTCATCCCGACAGGACTAAATCGCTTGTGGTCAACCGTACCGTTCGAACCGATAGGCCTCGTGACAAGAGAAGATACTCTCGGATCACCCTTGGAATCGCCCCGACGGAAAGTCACCCGACCGGTCTACAGTAGGGTGACCGGTCGGCCTGCAAGATGACGTAGCCTGCAGAGCCGAAAACGTAACTTGCACAACAAGTCTTGGGATGCAACTTGCACTTGCAGGGAGGCGATGGACAGCTTGCAGGTAGGACGGCTCCGCCTCATCGATCAATCAACCTACGCATAGCTGCAGAGCGACCGCCTGACTGAGCCAACGAGAAGATGCCACGTCGATCCACTTGCAGCAGCCGCATTAAATGCGTAGACCGACTTAGAAAGTATAAATAGGAGGGTCTCTTCCTCATACCTTCATCTTCACCTCATTGTAACTACTACTCACTACATTGTAACCTGCTTGCAATCACTTAAGCACTTGTAATAATACTTAGCCTCGGACCGCTCAGTCATCGCCCGACCGACCGACCGACCGACTGAACGACGAGCGCTCTTTTATACTCGTTCACAAACATACGTATTCGTAGTGTGACCGTAACCCCCGGTTCAATTTACGCTATCATTGGCGTCGTCCGTGGGGACCTGAACGAGTCACTCTCTGTTTCATTACCATTTTTTCCACATCTACCTCGCTTGATCGAAATGGCAAACAGCAGGAGGAGCCGGAGCCAGAGCCACGTGCAGAGGGAAGGATCAACCCGCCAAGTTGGAAATCACCCCGACAATACGGCTGAAACACTCCCTGAAGATGATCTACGAAGACAGTTGGACCGATAACGAGGACTAATGAACGAGCTCACCTCTAACCACGGAGGACGGGATACACAACCCACCCATCCGGTTGGACAGAATCCCGACCAGCAACCTGGACGAACGACCATCCACCCGACCATCCCAGTACCTTGGAATGGCGCAATCAATCCCAATCTTACGATGCCGATAACGTACACCATGCTACCCCCGATAGGTCAAGTGTTGCCACCAACGCCGGGTGCACTTGGAGAAAAACCCATACAAGGAACACCGCAACAGCAATTTACTTAGATTTATCAACCGTGATCTGGGACGCTAGGGTACTACGTTATGGCGCCAACCACGCAAATGATGATGACCCCCCAAATTCCAGTCGTGGAGCAGCAGCCACCGATGGCTCAACCACCCCAAGAGCACTAGCACCCGCAACCCCAAGATCGTGACCCTGAAGAAATCCAGTCAGCAGATCGGTCGCGAAGATCTAACCAAGAAGAGCGCCAAGATAATCATCACCCCGACGCCCCTCATCGTGGGAGTGTTCTTGATCGTATCCGGAAAAGTGTAAGGTCTCGGTTGGGACCCCAAGACGACCAGGACCGCTCAAGACAAAATCCCGAAGGACCACGGAGACAGAAGGAAGCAGCACCGGAAGCGTGTCGCGATTCAAAGAAGGAGGCAGGATTGGCCGGCTAGCCGGTCGGGTCGGTGACCGACCGGTCAGAAGAGAGAGACATCTGAGCAGAGAAGATAGTCCTCGCCGTCAACTAGCCAAGATGCAAGAGAGGATGGATCGTCTACAACAAGAACTCCGTGAAAAAAATGGCGCAAGTAAAGAGCCACCCACTCTGCTAATCTCGACTCCTTTCACCGACGACGTCATGAACACGCATTACCCGCAAGATCTCAGGATCCCGATGATGCGAACATACATCGGGCAGTCTGACCCTAAAGAACACATCGATATGTATTACGGAAACATGTTGATGTTGGGGGTGAGCGACGCATTCATATGCAGAGCCTTCTTCGCCACCTTGGCTGGAAAAGCGGCCGAGTGGTTTAGAAAGTTGGAGCCTCGGTCGGTTGGAAATTTCAGCCAGCTAGCCGACAAATTTGTGAGACGATTCACAGTCAACAGATTGAAAAAGAAGCCCTACACCTATCTTAATCCAATCAAGCAGGACGTGGGAGAAGCCCTGTCCGTTTTCTTACAAAGGTGGGATCGTGAGGTCGAACAGGTAGAGCCAATGGAAGATCAGGTGGCAATCCACGCCTTCCTCACGTCACTTCGATCCAGGGCACTCTACTACGACCTCATCGTGAATCCCCCCAAGACCTACGAGGAAGCAATTACCCGGCCAGACACCATGTCGACGCCACAAAGGCTAACTTGGCCTAGAGGCGGGACGAGCAGCCGGTCGGTCGGGATAGAAATCACGACCCAAGGAGGGACCGACAGCGTTTCAAGCAACGTGGTCGACCGGAAGACGGACCGCGATTCACGCCGTTAACCAGACCCCTAGTGGAAGTTTTACAGTATGCTGAACAGTGCAACCTGGTCCACCCGCCCGAACCAATACCTGAAGGAACAGACAAGAACAAGTATTGTGCTTTCCACAAGACCAAAGGCCATGACACGGCCCTACGCCTTGTGATTGAACAACTCATTCAGAATGGAGAGTTGGATCAGTTCGTGAAAAAGAATGAACGTGACAAGGAAAAGTTCAAGAAGAACGTGTGGAAAAGGAACCCCAGGGAGCAATCTAAGGCACCCGGTCCGCGTGGGTCATCTGACGATAAGGCGACCAGAAAGAAACCTGTGATCAACGTCATCTATGGAGGCCCAGAAGGAGGGGACTCCTCGCGTCAAAGGAAGCAATGGGCAAGAAATTTGGACGTCGGATCAGTCCACTCGGAACCCCGGGAGAAAAAGAAGCGCGTAGAACCGATTTTCTTCACTGACGAAGATCTTCCTATCCACGAGGAGGCCCATAGTGATTCACTTGTCATCACGATGGACATCAATGGGACAGATGTCTAACGAGTGCTAGTTGACACAGGATGTTCGGTGAACATCTTGTACTTCGACATTTTCACCCGGTTGGGTTTGACGACCGATCAACTGACTCCTATTCGGACCCCGCTATCAGGTTTCACCGGCGTCTCTATAGAGGTGGAAGGAGTCATCAGCTTGAATGTGGAATTAGGCACCAAACCAAATGTCTTAAAGACCATTATGGAGTTTGTGGTAGTCAAATTGAGATGTGTTAACAACGCGATACTCGGTCGACCAGGTATCTCCCAAGCGGCCGCTGTCATATCAATGAACCACCTATGCATGAAGTTCCACACGCCAAACGGGATCGGAGTGGTTCGTGGAGACCAGCGAGCTTCCCGTCAGTGCTACGTACAAGTAGTCAAGCAATCCAACCGCGAAAACGCTAGGATCCATACCATATCCCAGCAAGTTGACGGAAGTGAAGAAAAGGAAAGGCCACAACCAGCTTTAGAAATGAAAGAGATCATGCTTGACCCCAACCGGCCTGAGCGGGTAGTCAGGATAGGTCGGAACCTACCGGTCGGTCTACGGGAAGACGTCATCGGAGTATTGCAGAAGTTCAAAAATATCTTTGCTTGGGGACCAGAAGACATGCCTGGTGTCGATCGGTCGGTCATATGTCATCGACTGTCCATCCAACCGGGCTTCAAGCCAGTCAAGCAAAAGAAGAGGCATCTATCAAGCGAAAGAAGAGAGTTCGTGAAGAAGGAGACCGCCACTCTCTTGTCGGTAGGACACATCCGAGAAGTGCTCTACCCGGAGTGGCTAGCAAATGAAGTAATCGCGCCCAAACCCCCTATGTGGAGGATGTGCGTAGACTACACTGATCTAAACAAAGCTTGCCCGAAGGATCCATATCCATTACCAAATCCCGACCAGATGGTTGACGAAAAGGCGGGGTGTGAGCTGCTAAGTTTCATAGACGCCTTCAAAGGATACCATCAGATCTTCATGTGCAAGGAGGACGAAGAGAAGACTGCTTTCATAACCCCTGACGGAGTGTACTGCTACGTGGTGATGACATTTGGTCTACGAAACTCTAGAGCAACCTACCAGCGAATGGTAAACAAGTTGTTCAAAGGGTTTCTCGGGTCGACCATGGAGGCATACGTTGACTATATGCTTGTCAAGAGCCGATCGAAGGAGAGCCACCCAGCCGACCTGACTCGGGCATTCAAAGTGATGGAGACTTTCAACTTACGCCTGAACCCAAGTAAGTGTGCTTTCGCCTCTAGACAGGAAAATTTTTGGGGTTCATCATGACAGGGCGAGGGATCGAGCCGAACCCCGAGAAGGTCATAGCCATAATGGAGATGCAACCCCCCCCCCCCCAGTCGGTCAAAGACGTTCAACGATTGACCAGTCGGCTAGCAGCACTCAGTCGTTTCTTGTCTAAATCAGCTGAGAAATCTCTACCTTTCTTCGAAATATTGAAGAAATCTAATGGATTCGAATGGACACCGGCATGTCAGTCGGCCTTTGAAGACCTGAAGACCTACTTGAGCTCCTCACCAGTCCTTTCCAAGCCAGAGAAAGAAGAAACTTTGTTTATCTACTTAGCGGTATCCAACTGGGCGGTCAGCTCAGTGCTCGTTCGAGAGGAAACCAAAGGAGCTCAAAAACCAATCTATTACGTCAGCAAAGCCCTCTAGGGAGCGGAATTGAGATACATCAAGTTTGAGAATACCGCATTTTCACTCTGGATGACCGCCAGGAAACTTACAGCCTACTTCCAATCTCACCCCGTGGTAGTTTTGACCGACCAACCGCTCGGAACGATTCTCAGGAACCCAACATCATCGGGGCGATTGATCAAGTGGGCTATGATGCTTACCCAGTTTGCGATCGAGTACAAGCTGCGCCCTGCAATCAAAGCACAAGCATTGGCCGATTTCATCGTAGAGTGCACTGCGCGAGACCCGGAGCCAGACCGACCGAATGGTCTGGAGGAACCATGGTGGGAGGCCTCTACTGACAAGTCGTCCAGCAAGAAAGGATGCGGAGGAGGAATAGTACTCACTTCCCCTGAAGGTTTGAAAGTTTACCAGGCTTTGATTTTCAAATTCCGACCCACCAACAACGAAGCAGAATATGAAGCACTCATAGGCGGACTACGGTTGGCCAAACCAATGAAGGCCGGCTGACTGAGGATACGATCAGATTCCCGATTGATAATCGGTCAAATTTCCAACACGATCGAAGCGAAGGAGGATCAGATGATACAGTACAAGGACATTACGCTGGAATTATTACAGCAGTTTGACAGGTACGAGTTGATCCAAGTGCCCAGAATAGAGAATACGGACGTCGACATGCTGTCCAAGTTGACCCAGGAAGCCCCAGAGTACATGTCCAAAATCGCACGGATTGAAAAGATCGGGTCGCCAAGCATTAACATCATTGAGGTCCGACCAGTCGAAATAAGCGAGCCAAATTGGATGTACGACCTGAAGAATTACATAGCCAATGGCGCCCTGTCGGATGACGCCACCAAGGCAAAGAATGTCAAACTGAGAGCACCGCGTTTCCAGTTGGTCGACGGGAAGCTCTACAAGCGGTCATACGACGGACCACTTTGAGGTGTCTAACTAGTGACGAAGCCAAAATTGTGATTGAAGAAGTTCATGATGGAATTTGTTCCGCCCACCAGGGACCAAGGACGTTAGCACAAAAATCATCTTGCTAGGGTACTATTGGCCTTCAATCAACTTGGATTGCGAGCAGTACATTCGTCGATGCGCTACTTGTCAAGAATTCCACAAGTTGCCTGGCCGATCGGCCACTTATTACCAACCGATCAGCGAGGTAATACCCTTTGCGAGATGGGGAGTGGACCTGATCGGAGCGTTCCCAATGGCGGCCGGCCGGAAGAAGTATGTGATCGTAGCCATCGACTACTTCACCAAGTGGGTGGAGGCGGAAGCACTTGCAACCATCACCTCACAGCAATGCCATAGGTTTCTCTGGGAAAAGGTGATCACTTGGTTTGGGGTTCCAGTTTACTTGATCACTGACAATGGGACGCAATTTGATAACCAGCCATTCAAAAACTTTATGGCTTGGCTGGGCATCAGGCACACCCGAGCAGCTGTAGCATACCCGCAAGCCAACGGACAAGTGGAAAACACCAACCGGACGATCCTTGACGGACTAAAGAAGAAGTTGCAAAGCGCGGGTCGAGGCAGGGTGGAGGAACTCCCATACGTTCTCTGGACCTACAGAACCACTCCGAGACGGACGACCAACAAAACGCCTTTTTTGTTGACCTACGGATTTGAAGCAAGAGTGCCAATTGAAGCATGGCTCCCTACTGCTCGGGAAAAGAACTACCAGCCAGAAAAAGATGACGAGTTGCAAGGTGCATAGCTCAATTTTATTGATGAGAAGAGAGATATGGTGGCACGGAGAGTGATTGAGTACCAGAAGGCCGCCAAGACGTACCATGACGGTCGGGTGAAACCACGATATTTCCAAGTCGGTGACTTGGTACTCCGGCGAAGGGAAGCAAGTAGACCGACCGACCATGGAAAGTTTGCTAAGAAATGGGAAGGGCCCTACAAAGTCTCGGCAGTTGTCCAACCCGGCACCTACAAATTAGAGACCCTGTTCGGTCGATTGACCGACCGAATATGGAACTCCAAGCACCTCATGAAGTTTTACAAGTAGTGTAGGGCAACTACTATATTTCATGTATTCGGATGGCTAAATAGAAATTTTCTCTCTTAACATCATTGTATCATTCCCGTCCCCGGTCGAAATGTTTTAAGAAGGACGACCGAACGGTCGAAGTATGAGCAGTTTGTTTTCCCAGCCCTATCGTTTGAGGTTTTGCCCAGTCGAATTATCCCGGCCCTACCTGCACAATTTTGTCTGGTTGAGTTTGTGATTAAGTTCACTTGTTTTCCCGGCCCTATCATTTGAGGTTTTGCCCCGTCGAATTATCCCGGCCCTACCTGCACGATTTTGTCCGATTGAGTTTGTGATTAAGTTCACTTGTTTTCCCGGCCCTATCGTTTAAGGTTTTGCCCGGTCGAATTATACCGGTCCTACCTGCACGATTTTGTCATTGAGTTTGTGATTAAGTTCACTTGTTTTCCCGGCCCTATCGTTTGAGGTTTTGCCCGGTCGAATTATCCCGACCCTACCTGCACGATTTTGTCCGTTTGAGTTTGTGATTAAGTTCACTTATTTTCCCGGCCCTGTCGTTAGAGGTTTTGCCCGGTCGAATTATCCCGGTCCTACCTGCACGATTTTGTCCGGTTGACTTTTTCAGACCGACCAGTACGGTCCCACACGACCAATCGATCGATCGTATCTACTTGTCATTAGCTTTTGGGGCACGAGTGAAAGCCTTACCCATTGGGTATCCTACATGGCTTGAGATCGACTATTACACTTAACCACTAGAAGTGTTCTCTTTGCAGTTTAGCTGATATGTGTTCGCAGGGTGAAGGGCTGCCGGTCGGTCGGATCAATACATGAAGAACAGAAAATCACAAGTAGTCAATACAGAGCAAAGGAAATGAAGATCACATAAGTAAAAGAGACATAGTCTGACCGACACAAGAACGGGGTCGGCCTCCCGAAAACGAGAAGTCAAAAGTCTAAGAAAGATAAAAGCCAACTACAAATCACATCGCATCACAATCAAGAACCTTGATTCTAAGAAGCAACAGTAGAGGGGTCGGTCGGTAGATCGACAAATGGCTCGGGAATCGCTAGTGGCCCTACTTCCCTAGGGAGCCCAGTGCGGACCTATTCCCAATCCTCTGGGAGAAGTGTTTCTTCAAGAGCTTAGTGCAAAGACACCTGCATGGCATGCTTCTCCCTTTGGTAACCCCAGGCGGTCGCCCTGCGCACTACTTGCAGACTGACGGGATCACGGCAGAATGCTTGAAGGAAGGAGACAACGGCGTCTTCGGATGAACAGAGTGACTTGGCCAGGTCAGGTAACTCGGCCGGTCGGGAAGGGTAAAGCTCGG